ATTGTCCTGCTCATCACGGTGACACATGCCCTGGTACGGGCTTCCCAGATTTCACGCCGCAGCCGCTCTGAGATCTCTCACACCCTGTACGAGAACGACTCTGCCCAGCACGGCGAATCCTCCAGCAGTGATCTGAACAACAAGAATGTGGCTACACCCCGGCCACGGCCCGAGATCCACCGGGAATTTTCCTTCCCTCCTTTCCTGGAGCGTAAATCCCAGCTGGGCTCTCCGGCCAGCAGCAACCTCACCTCCTCGGGCAGCCCCGGGCTTTGCTCCGAGAAGGAGAGATACAACCCGCGCCGAACGCACAGGACGCTGTCGGCAGACTCGGGCCTGCTGCAGGCACAGGGCCAGCCCTGGAAGGGCGTCACGCAGGAGATGAGGAACGTGCTGTCACGCAAACCTGGAGCCTCGGGCAAGGACTCGACTCTGGTGTGAGTGGAAGCGGGACCTTTCCGCCCCCGTCTCGTCCCAGGGGAGCTGCAGGCACCAGGGCCAAGATTTGCATCTCTCTTTAGAGCTTAATATAGGCCACGTCTCACCAGAGCAGGGGAGTGTCTGTGCAGCCACCGCCTGATGCTCTTTGCTTCTCTTACTGAGATGATGCCACCACTGCTCCAAGCCTGAAGCCCTCGGCTTCTCGCCCTGAGCCCCCAGCCCCTCCCACCATGCTGCTGGCACTTGCTATCCTGTGACCCAGGACAGCAGCTGGCGGTGTCCCATGCAGGCCCCTCGTGGCTGTCCCAACCACGGCAAAGGAAGCGGAACGTGTGGGTTACAAATGGACCTCGTCCACGAGCAGACCTACCACCTTCCTCCAGCGGATCACAGCCAATTTCTCTGGCTGGTTGTACCTCCCTGCCCTTCCTCTGCCTCCTTCCTTCCTCCTCCATCCCTGGGAACCAACCCTACACCCAACAGTTCATACAACGGACTGAGCAAGGCTTCCAGGCGTCCCAAAAACCAAGGGAGGAGCAAGCGAGATGGAACCAGCTGGGTTTGGGGTGTCTGAGCCTCCGCCGCTTGGTCACCAGCAAAGCCACCCTCTTGCTAAGCAGGGTCACTGTGCTCTTAGCAGGGAAGGAGTTGTGCTAGAGCAGCCCCAGAGCCCTGGCGTTGCTCCATAGTGGAGGCAGCTCTCCAGGGACTACGTGGGTGCCACCAGGGAAGGAGGGCTGACATCCGGGATGGGGTTTGTGTCAGCTCTTCCTCGCAGGGCAGGAAGCGCAGGTACGAAAGGCAGCCGCTGTTTCGGGGAAACATGAGGCGGTTTAGCTCGCTCTGTCCCTGCGCCGACCTCACCGGTTCCTCACAGCCCCACGCTCTGCCCAGGCCCAGGGCAGCAGCACGCTTGGTTCTTCCCTGATTTTCTCTTCCAGCAACCAATGAAGCATTTCAGGGAGTGAAGGGAGGCCGTGGTTTCCAACAGATTCCCCTCTCGCCTCCCGTGCTATTATCCAGAAAGACACCTGTTATCCTGAGCACAACGCAGTTCCTTTGGAATCCGAGTTTAACGCTGCTTTGATCCCTGCATCCTCAGTAACTTCTTCAGCAGAACAGAACTGTTGCTTCCAGGAGAGATTAACATTGAAGTTGCATCCTTTCATAAGTGACCTCCAAAGCTGTGCACGCAGTTCTGCTTCCCAACACTTGACAGGGGATGAAGTCCTTTTTTTTGATTGTTTTTTGAAAAACAGGACACTTTCTTTTTTTCACTTGAAAGGCTCCAACTCCGCACGTCTTTGTTTTGCTCCATGCCCTCTGAAACATGCAAAGCCAGCAGGCTCCAAGACCCCCCAGCCCGAGGCGAGCAACAGGGGAAGGCTTGAGACAGAACTTTCTTGTTTTTTTTTTTTCTTTTTATTATTGTTCTTGCTAAATCCAAATCCAGCAACTCCCTGGCACGCACACGAAAATCTCCCCTTGCAGAATGCCTCCTGAACAAAGCTGAAGTGTGCCTACATTATGTGTTTACACAGCCATCTACAGAACACTGAAAGCAAGACCTAGATTTTTCCAAGATACTTCTGTGGCCAAGAGGTAGAGAGAAAGACGCCTCGCAGCAGCCTGCCGCCGCCAAGAACTGGAAAAGACAAACCCAGCATCCACCCTGTTTCTCTTTTGCAGAGCGCTGTGGAAAGGGACACAAGTGCTCCCCAAAGCACCCCCCAAAAGCAGTCTTGACTTGCTCAGGTACAGCACCTCGTTACTGGGAAGGGAAAGGCAGGCAGAAGCCTCTGTGCAGCTTCACAGATGGAGCAGGTGGTTTCTTGCTCCTCCTCGGGGTCGGAGAGCATGGAGCCGGGCTGGAGAAGGTGGCAGAGGACAGCCAGACTTGTCTGAAATCAGGAACTGGCTGGAGGATTCTTGGCTTGTGGGGCAGCAGGGCTGTAAGAAGAAAGAGACTGTCATGTCCAGCAGCCAGGCAGGGCACCAGCACCTGTAAGAACATGAAGAACCAGGGGCTCCCTCAAATAAAACCTCACTGCTTACAGCAGGAGAGCAGCTTAGACAAGCACACCTTTCAGGGGGTCGAGAAAACAATCTTCAAAGACACAGCGCCACAAAAACCACTAAAAATGCTCTGGGCTGCACAGAGTGTGACGGTGCCACGCAGGACCTGAACCAGAAGTGTCTTAGGCTGCAGAGACAGAGGCTCTCTGTCGGCCGTGGTGGTTTTGATCAGGGATGGGCATTTGGGAACTTCCTCACTCCTCTACCCAGTCAGACTCCGATACCAGGGCTGTTCTCAGGAGAGACAAAACACCCTGGACTCAGATGATCTGCTAGGAGATAGTTTAGTAGCTGTGGTTCAGTGGCAAACATACAACCCCGCATCATCATTCTGCTGCCACTTGTGCCCGTGGGACTCTGCCCAAAAAGAGCCACATCCATGACAGAGAACAGCACCAAACACAGCCTCTCCCCTGCTCCCTCTCAGCAGCATCACCTCACTCCAAATGCCTTTGGCAGAACGACGATTCAACGTGCCACACGACCAAACACCCCTTTTAAAATAAGGAAATAAATTATTTCTGAGTTACCCTTTCAGAAGCAAGATTATTCGCTTCCCAGTAAACGAAGCCAAGCAGCTCGCTGGAAGGCGAGCAGCACGCTCTTTCGAATAATAGTTTAGAATCACGTTACTGAGGGAACTGATCTGTGCTCTGGCAGCCAGAAGGGTCACTCGGATTGAGAGGCAGCACGATGTCCCCTTCGCTACCTGCGGCCCTGCGCAGCGTTCAGCTGGTCCTTCATGGCGATGGCGTGCTTGAGCAGGCTGTCGATGCTCTTGAAGTACACGCTGCTGTCAGTCATGTTCTTTATGGCACTGAAAGAAGCAGAGAAGGGGGTGGAGGGAGATGGAGGAGCGGTTAGCACGTCCGAAGGCGGCGCGGAGTTTAGAGCACACAAGCCCCCGCAGAGAGGAAACCTCAACTTGGAGCTGGGTGGGGGGGATTTGCTGCGGGAGAAAGCGAAGCCCCCGAGATTCACAGGAAGCAGGGAGGAGCGAGGGAAGCGCAGGCGGCTCCTGCTTTGTTTCCACCACAACACCTCAGCCTGTCGACGCAAATTCCCGCTCGGAGGAGCCTCTCATACCTGCAGGCGTACTCCACGGTGTAGATGGCTCCTTGGCTCTGCTCCTCCCAGCTCTGCATGTCAGACTGCAAGAGAAGGAGGTGGCATCATTAGGGACACGCTGCAGTGCCCAAATGTGGGCTCTGGCTGCTCCTCACTGGAAACGGTGTTTGGATTCTGTCTCCCACTCGACAGCGTGTGACATGCTCTGGGCGCCACGCACTAGCACTTCAAGAAAAAGCATTTATTGTGTGTATTTCTGGAAGGGCTACTAGTTTGGGACAACACTTTGGCCACTCTGGCAAAACTCCCCTTGGATTTCGATGTTTTAGCCCGCAAGCCAGCCGAGAGCCATGGTCGGTCAGGCTGCAAGCAACCAGCAACTGCAGCAAGTGACATGTTTTGGAGAACTCTGATCTCTCGGCAGGCATCTGGGCTCTGAATTAACAACTCCTGCCGAGTCCAGTCCTCGGTCCTTCGTGCAAACCCAGGTAAAAGTTTCTTTCACAGCACTAAGAGCTCTCATTTCATCAGAGCTGCCATTCACAAACATCTGTGCAGCCACAAGCACCCCGGTCCTCTGGTTTGTGCTGGTGTCTGATCCCAAGCCACAGCCAGCGCTGTGCCCTTCCTTTCAGGAGCCTGGAAGGAGCTTCCAAAAAGGCCCGGCAGCCCCGCAACCAGCCACTGCTGGCAGGGGACAGTTCTGTACGCTGCAGCTCCAAGTAACGGGAAAACCAAACAAACACACAAACCACAGCGAAAGCGCGGCTGGATTCAGAGGTGTAGCTCACTAGATAACTATTTCAAGAGTCCTTAAGCAGTTTGGGCACTCTTTAAGATGTATTCTCGTGGGAGCTAATTTTCCAGTCTATTCTGCTGGGTCTCGTTACAAGCCAGAGAAAATCCAAGGGCCTCTTTCTGTGAGCGAAGGAGGTCGGGTAGGAGCTTGGACGGCGTCCAAAAATCGCTTCTGCTGTTCAAAGCCTGCCCTGCATCGCAACGCTCGAGCCCGCAGATTTAAGCTACAAAAGAAACAAGCCCCTACACGCAGCGCTCTAGGCCCTTCTCTGCAGGAGAGGGTCCTGCGACTCAGGACTCGCAACCCTGCGGAGACCACGCTGGCCCCAGAGCCCAACCGCGCTTGACACAACCGTGCCCGCTGCTGGGAATGTGCTTTGTGCATGGAGGCAGCTGCAGAAGATGAGGCTCCTCGTCCCGCTTTCTCCAAGAGGTGTCAGATGCTCTTTAACAACGATTTAGACCCCAGCATCGCACCGGCTCAGCCGTACCCGCCGCAGCCGCTTGCCTGTGGTGCCGTTGCTGAGCACTGGTAGATTTTAATCATTTCCCGGCATCGGAGCCAACAATGTCCATTCTCAGCATTGCCACGACTTCCTGGGATTTTCATCTCCTTAACTAGGAAGAAGAGCCTTTCCCCAGAGCTCCTCACTTCTTAAATCTTGTCTTGATGTCCTTCCTTCGAATTCCCAGGACGTGCCTTTGGATGCAGTTTAAGAACTAAAGCCGGCTATTAATACACAACAGCGCTAATGATGCTTTACTCTCGCTCAGAAGTAAATTAAAGAGGAGATCTAAGTTCTCAAAAGCGGAGGCAAAATCCAGAAAGGCCGCTCGGTGCGGAGGCAGCCGGGGCCGCGCGTCCCAGCGCACCTCATCAGGGAGGTGGCAAATCTGCTTGGAGAGTTTGTGATGCTGAGGAAGATATTAAGATTATTGTTTCATCAAATCTTAGGAAGGCGTGGAGGTGACCTTCTTGCCTGCAGAAACTTTTCTCCCAGCCACCTCCCTCCTGATTTTTCCTAGGTTTAACTAGGAAATTTCAAATGCTGCATCTT